CCCCGCAGCCCTGGGTCAGGCCCGCGCGGCCTGCGAGCTCCGGTTGTCCGGCTGGAAGCAGTTGTGCCGCCCTCGAGTGGGCTGAATGGAGGACAAGTCCCCAGAGCTGGGGGGCCCCTCAGGCCAATCAGGAGCGCCTCTCCAGATACAAAGCATCCCAATCAGGCGGCAGCGCCCCGTTCCCACATTCTTTGCCGTCACAAATTGTCACCATGGGGACCATCACAAAAAAGACAGCTCCCAAATGCAATCATTTCCCGGTAAATTTCTACCCTCAGCCCCTCTCTCCCCCTCGGCCTCCACGCCCTCCTCCCCTTGACCTCGGTTCCCTGGTTTCTCGAGGGGGTGAGGGGTGTGTTTAAAAAGTCCGGGACTGAGGCGGGGCTGGGCCCAGAGACGGGCTGGCCCTCCTCCCCACAGGCTCCGGCACGGCCCGCGGCTGCCATGCTCCGGTGCAGACAATCGGACGGACGGGTAAGCCGGGCAGGCGGCCTTCCCTGCCATCCTTGAGTGTTGAGTGGCTCTCTCCTCTCCTCTCTCTTTCCCCACCCCGCTCCCCGGGGCAGGCCTGTGAGGGCCGGCGGCACACTGGTGTGGGCAAAGGTAGCGGGGAAGGACTCTCTAACGAGGGGCTGGGATATCCATGGGAAGGCAGCCGCAGCTCTCAGGAATCTTGTCTTTATGTTTGCTTCCTCAATTGAGCTGCACAAAGCCTGAATTGCCCATTCAGTGCGGCCGGACAAAAGGTTGGCGTTGCACGGTCCCCTTGCATTTGTAGTCAAACAGTTAGGGACTTAAATCGAGTCGTCATGATGGAGAAAGAGGTGGACAAAGCCCATAGAATTGCCATCAGCAAACATTTTCCTGTGTCATATTAGCCAGTCTCCATGGCTCCCCCTGGCCTGGGGACAATGGCACAAGTTTGCACACTTGGCTACTGTCACCGTGCCAACGCCGGCGGGGCCACAAGCAGGGCCGCGCTGAGCGAGCAAGGGAGCCCAGGGCCGGCCGTGGGCCCTGCCCACCAACTGGCCAGAGGGAAGGTGAGGCCAGTGGCAGAGGGAGGCTGCCTGGGAAATGTGGATGGGCGAGGCCTCCGTGCCAGCCAGCCTGGTGGACCCCCTATACCTTCTGCCTGTCCCCTCTTCCTCTCCTCCCTCTTCCTTCCCTTCTCTTTTTTCTACCACCTCCTCCTTCTGTGCCCTGGCTGGCCAAATGGCTGGTGCTCTATGCACCAACCCACACCTTTGCACCACCACCTGAAATGCCAGGGACTCCTCTCTGAAGCGCCCCTCCCAGACTAGGAGCACTGACAGGGAGGGGCCAGGTTTCACCCAGGAGTGACGGTTCCACCCCCTCCTGCTGGCCAATAGACAGCTGCTACCGCAGGGGACGCCTGCCCGCAGTGACAGGGCTCCAAGCCACCTCCCCCTCTGGCCCGAGGGTCCCTGCAGGCAAAACGAAGGGCTCGGCAGAGAGAGCCCATCCTGGGGAGTGGGGGTCGTATTCTCCACGCCCCGTTTCCCTGCTGTGGGGGTGGGGGAAGCGTGGACTGAGATGGAGGTGACCTTGAACTGGAGCATCCTGGGTCATTGGCCACCACAAGGCCTGGAGAGCGTGGCCCCTGTTCACAGAAGCCTGTGCGTGGATGAGCGCCAAACCATTGTGGCCTTAAGCCCCTGAGTGTTGGGGGTCACTTGTTTCTGCAGCAGAACCCAGCCCACCCTGACCAGTACAGGCAGGAAGTATCCTTTCCGCCCCAAACCACTGAGCACACGCTGCTGGGGACAGTGCCGAGGTCATGGGGTTAGGCTGGCACATCTCCCATCACGGCTCCGGCTGCCTCCTGACACACCCAGCCCCCCTGTGTGAGCTCCAGGAGGGTTCTGCCTCTCCAGTGACTAGAATGGCCTTGGCCCGGAGCAGCCCTTGTGGTTGCTGAGGTGGTACTTGATGGCCCGTCGTCTGTGTTTCTCTGGGACTGTGGGTGCCTGGAAAGCAGGAGGCCCTGCTTCCCAACTGCATCCCCTGCACCAGAGCAGGGCTTCTAGAAAGCTCCATAACGGCACGTAAGCTGTGCGGACTTGAACTTGAGGATCCCTTCCCAACTCGGCTGTGACCGCCTGCAGATCGTCCACTTTCCAGCTGTGCTCACCCCACCCCAAGTGTATCGACCCCACTCAGCGTCAGGGACGCCCCTGCTTCCGGGCAACTCCGCTCCGCACCTGCTGTGTGTCAGGGACCCGAGGGCGCTGGGTGGGCCCGCACGGCTTGCTCCTCTGTCCGAGGCCACTTGCTGGCGGGGAGGTGGGCTTGGTCTTGGTGACTCAGCAGCCACCTCCCGCCCACCGGCCAGTGAGACAGGACCCTGGGTGGTGGCCTGGCACCAGCCATTCCTTGTTTCGATGGCAGGAGATGGAGAAAACCGTGATTTACGGAGGTAGGCAGCTGACACGGTCATTTTTCAAAGCCTGTCGTGCAACCTCAGGATAGTCATCAAATGCCTACCCAGCACTCACCGCTTGGTCGACGTCCGTAACACGTATTAAGGCATTTTTTTCTTCCCAGGTGCCAGGATACTGTCTTGAATGGATAAGGAAACTGAGGCACAGAGCCAGGAGCCTTGCCCCAGGTCCCTGCTCAGTAAAGGGCAGGGCTGGGAGGGGGATGCTGGCAGCCAGAGCCGGGCCCTCGGTCACAACCATCGCCTGCTGCTCTCCCTCCCCCCCCCCCCCCCCACGCACAGACCCTCGCTCCCTCCCAGGGCTTCGCTGACCCAGAGGTGCAGAAGCGCCCGGCCCGCCCTCCTGCAGGGATAGGTCCGACCAGTAGACTCGGGGACACAGCAGCCTGACCAAGCCTCCATGAGCGCAGGACGCAGCCGTCTGTCTGGGCGGCTTATGTAACTCACCCCTTATGTAAGGGAGTGTCTCCACCAAAGCCCAGCCCCAGGCCACCTGTCCTGTCCGCTGCAGTCAGAGCAAACAGGCTTCCTTGGGCCGGAGGCTAAGGGCTGAAATAAACCCCTTGGCTGCCAGGCCGAGGGCTTCCTGCCCCGGGGACCTCGCCTCAGGACGGCGGCTTAATGCCAGCGCGGCTGTGCCCTCAGCGCAGCCGGGGACCTCGGGGGCCTCGTGATGACCCAGAGGAGTCACAGCCCATCGGCAGGGACAGCGACCTCCTAGTTGATGCCTCCCCGTCTCTTCCCCTCTGGGTCCCAAAGCTGCCGCGGTGAAGCCCCTCTTGGGCACATCTCCCCTGGAAGGAATAGCCTCTGTGTCCCTGTTGGGTGTCCGCACGGCCCCGCATTCCCACCACGGCCCCGTTTCATGCCTGCCGCCCGCCACACGTCCATCACCTTCACGCGTCCTCAGGTGCCTGCCTCTCTGAGGCGTCTCTCTACCCGACCCAGGCACCAGCCAGGGATGAAAAGTCGGTTTAATTTCAACTGCCAACTCGGGTTTGATTGGTGATGGCTGGCGGGTGCCCCGTGGAAAGATTCCGAGGGCCGGGCAGGACTCGGGATCGGCTAGTGCTGTCTTCCGTGGGTGTGGGTGGGGACAGGCTGACTGTACCTGCCTGATATCCCCGAGTCCCGAGTCCCGTTCAGAATAACAGGATGCGGAGCCAGGAGGGTGACGCGTGGCCTCCTTGTAACCCGGCCCCGAGATCTTACCCAAGGGAACAGTGTCCCAGAGGAGGGCAGTGACTCCCCCAGGCACGCAGGTGCTCCCACTTCCCAGGCAGAGCTCATCGGTTCAGTTCAATAAACTGAGACCGGGGGTGGTAGGCACTTTGGAGAACGGAGACTGGTGAGTTTGGTGCAATGGAGAGGAGAGGTCACAGCAGGGAGTGGGGCGAGAAAGTTAGGAAGAAAGGCTGTCCTCCATGGGTCTGTGCAAGCAGCAGGCACACGGTAAAGGCCCGTTGAATGAATGAATGAATGAATGAAACGTGGAGTAACACAATTGGTTGGCTCTCGGCAAACTTGGGAACTCCAAGAGCCAGTGTCACCACACACTGGAAACAGCTCTCATTCTGACCCAGGCACAGCCTCTCGGCTCTACTTGCAAACTACGTACTGACCACATCACACCCTCTCCTCTGCTCCCCCCTGGGACCAGTCCCCCACCACCTCTTACCTCGCCTGGATTGCTTGTCTCCTAACTGGGCTCCTGAGTCTGCCCACAGCAGCCTGTGCTCTTTTTTAAAAGAGAAGCTGGCTCAGCGCAGCCCCTGATCCCCCTCCCCCAT